GGGAACTACCAGAGGACTGGAAAAGAGCTGATGTAGTTCCCATCCTCAAAAAAGGAAAAAAAATGGATCCAGGAAATTACAGACCTATCAGCCTGACCTCAATACCTGGGAAGATCCTGGAAAAGATAATCAAACAACGAATCAACGAACACCTAGAGGCAAACAAAGTCATTACTAAAAGCCAACATGGGTTTGTCAAAAATAGATCATGCCAGACAAATCTTATTGCATTCTTTGACCAAGTGACAAAATTAGTGGATCAGAGGAATGCTGTGGACATAATTTACTTGGACTTCAGTAAGGCATTTGATAAAGTAGATCACAACCTACTACTTGACAAGATAGAAAAATGTGGGGTAGACAGAACCACCACCAGATGGATCCGTAGCTGGCTGACCGGCCGTACTCAGCGAGTGGTCCTCAATGGAACTGCATCTATATGGAGGGAAGTGTGTAGTGGGGTGCCCCAGGGCTCTGTTCTGGGCCCAGTACTCTTCAACATCTTCATCAACGATTTGGATGAAGGGATAGATGGGGAACTCATCAAATTTGCAGATGACACCAAGCTGGCAGGAATAGCCAACACTCCAGAAGACAGGCTTCAGATACAGAAGGATCTGGACAGACTTGAACACTGGGCACTAACTAACAAAATGAAATTCAATGGTGAAAAAAGCAAGGTTCTACATTTAGGCAAGAAAAACCAAATGCACAAGTACAGCATAGGTGGCACCATGCTCAATAGTAGTAACTGTGAGAGGGACCTCGGAGTCCTAGTAGACAATCAGTTAAATATGAGCCAGCAGTGTGCGGCAGCTGCCAAAAAGGCCAACACAGTACTAGGCTGCATTAACAGAGGGATAGAATCAAGATCACGCGAAGTATTAATACCACTCTTCAATGCCTTGGTAAGGCCACACTTGGAATACTGCATCCAGTTTTGGTCACCACGATGTAAAAAAGATGTTGAGACTCTAGAAAGAGTACAGAGAAGAGCAACAAAGATGATTAGGGGACTGGAGGCTAAAACATATAAGGAACGGTTGCGAGAATTGGGTATGTCTAGTTTAACGAAGAGAAGGACAAGGGGGGACATGATAGCAGTATTCCAATATCTCAGGGGCTGCCATAAAGAAGAGGGAATTAAGCTATTTTCCAAAGCACCTGAAGGCAGGACAAGAAGCAACGGGTGGAAACTAATCAAGGAGAGAAGCAACCTAGAACTAAGGAGAAACTTCCTGACAGTGAGAACAATTAATCAGTGGAACAGCTTGCCTCCAGAAGCAGTAAATGCTCCAACACTGGAAGTTTTTAAGAAGAGACTGGACAACCATTTGTCCGAAATGGTGTAGGGTTTCCTGCCCGAGCAGGGGGTTGGACTAGATGACCTCCAAGGTCCCTTCCAACTTTACTATTATTATTATTATTATATATGAATCAGGTGCAAGACAATACTACCGGCTTCTAGCTGGTTTCTAACTCCAAAAATTCCTATTTGGGTAAATGGATTTCGACTTACAACCACAAGATTTGAATTACGCCACTGTAAACATGATCATAAAATCAGGTTGTCACATGAGTTCCTCAGCTTAGATTGCCATGAAGTATGATTGAAATTCTGGTCCCAATTATGATTGTAAGTGGAGGACTATCTTTAAAGTAAATTGTAAATTGTAGGACTCCAGATAAGTACTGATGAAAATATGTTTGAGAAATGTTCTGAAATAATAGAACCTTGGAATGATATATTAGAAAGTAGCACAGTTCTCCCTCAGACTCATCTCGTATTATTACACTATCACTATTAACTACCTCCAGCCTTTGGCCATCTATTTTAATGTGAATTAACTTAGATGATCCAAATTCATTCTTTCTGACAGACATTTTAGCCTTTTTCTTCATAATTAAATATATACCTTCACTTCCCTTCAGGTATGAATCAATTCTATGCCATAGATCAGATCACTTGGATTTCATATTTTTTCCATCCTTCTCCTTTCTCTTGGTTTCATAGATGCATAACAAATATTTTTGATTTCTTGTATTTCCTTTGATCATTCATATGCTTTTTCATATATTCCTCTTACATTCTAAGTCACAATCTTCTATATGCATATATTGTAGTCATCATCAGATGGACTCAAAATATAGAACTCTGCTTGCCTTCATGACTTTTGATCAATTGACGCTTTCACACAAAATTATTTTAATATGATATAGAAGGTATAAACTAGGTACTAATACCAACAGTAGCTATGTCAAATGCAGCATTATTTGCCAATAGTAAAAACAACACCAGCCAGTTTTGTCACATTTTGGCTAGTATGACACAAAAACAATCAATGTCAAGTTTTATTCCAAGCATGTCAATTATTCTAGGCAAGTAGGACCTCAAATCCAGAGACTACCTGCAAGTCACCTTCCAACTGCCTGTATCCCATCAATGATACACATGCAGGATGCAAATCATTGTGCATCATTTTACAGTAAGACAAAGATATAAATCCAAGATGCCTAGTGCAACAATTCACCTCAATTTATGTATCAAAAAAGACTGCTCAATGGTGTGCTATGAAGAACAAGTTTAAATGAAATTATTTGATCCATTAGTTGACAGGAGTTACATGATAAAGCAGAGAATATAGGAGGTGCCTTAGCTATACTGGATAAAAATTAGAGGCAAATTCCCTATAACCTTTGCCTATGTTTTCATAGCATGGGACATTAAAGGTGATATTCCTCATTATTTGCTCATCATGCCTCTTTAGCAACCACTATAAAATGTTTAGCTCTGATATAAAAAAAGGAAATGGGCTTGACCAACCTCCTAGAAAATTTGTTTCCTAAGAATAGGATGACCTTCGCAGCTGTGACAGTCTTTATTTGAGCAGCTGCTCAAAGCCATGTCAACTTTTTGATTTATGTAAGTAATGAGGGTTATGTTTTACAGATTTGTTTACTTCAGAAATTTTGTGATCCTTGTGCTATGTTTATTATAGGCTTTTTTATCCTCTCCTACATAGTTTATTTATACAAATGTTATACATTTGTTTATTTATTTATTTGTTATTTTTAATATGTATTTTAATTCAGTGATTTTTGCATCGTGTGAAGCTATGACCTATAGTTATAATAATAGAAAAAAATACTATCAAAAGTAATATTGGAGTATAGATAAATAACAATCATTCACTTAAACTATTTCTAATAATTTCAATGATTTAAAGCAAAATTTAAACTTACTTTGTAAACACAGTAATTCAAAATGAATAGGCTAACACTGGAATTCTTTATTTTCTAATAAATAGAAAAACAGGAAGTTTTCTGTTACAATGGAACTTAGGGTTCCCTGTAAATGCAGATTATTAAAGAGTAAAATTGGTGTTACAAAATCATTAAGTTTGACAAGAAAAAAATAAGAAACTACATTTTATATCTAAAACAATAAAAATACCCTGACATCACTATCTTGCAATTTGAAATATGGAGCATCAAAAGGAAAATTTTAATCACGGAATACTTGTATTACACAAATCCAAATTACATTATTTCAGAAAGTTGATACATTTGCATAAGCTGTGCTCTTGAAATTAAACAGTACTGGGGTTTAGTAGAAATCTTTTATCCTCAGCAAACTGAATGGAGAATCATTCCATTCTATCTAGCCGCAAAAAGTAAATATGTCCTATGAATTTTATTTAAACAATCCATAACACCAAAGTCTAAGTTTCCCAATATTTATGTTCAATTTATTACTTTAAATAATAAAAAACAAAATTAAATATAAAATATTATAAAGCTATTAAATCTTTATATCCCTGTAGAAACCATGACATTTGAAACAGCTGTCATAACCACTAGTATTTTGCAAAGATTTTGCACGAAGCTCCCTTTTCCGAAGGACGTCATTCCCCATTTATTTCAAAATAGGCAGGTACTTTATACATAGAAAAAAATATATTTCCAGAAGTAATTTATGGAAAAGCCTGCAGGTTCAGGTGCACCTTATATTATATGTGGCCTTTGGTTTAGAGCAACTGAATTAATATATTTTTCTTAAGATGTGATCTTTTGTAGATCCCATAAGCATTCAGAACAAGATTAAAGAAATACATTCATTACTGAGCTTTGGGCCAATATAAACCCATAAAATTGGATTTACCAAGCTTCTGCTCTGTAGTTTTAATTACAGCTATGACTGGGACGAAGAAGTCTTTTAACAGGAAATGAAATAGCCTATCTATAACAGATCAGAGTGTTATGTCCTAGGATTGAAACATAAATTAGTCATAGAAGGAACATGGACGACCCACATCACTTCCACAAACCAACTGCTTGCAGTTCCAATATAAATGTTTATGTTTAACTGTTGTTTCAACACTATCTCCTCAATGAAACTTCAGCTTCTGAAATCCACCTGCTCCTCCAATTTCTAAAATATGAGGCAGAAGAACTGCCTCTGCAGTCAATATTTGGATTCAGCTCCAGTTAGATTGTCATGTACAGTATTGATTACATCCTATTGATTATGACATTCTAGGTAACTCTGACAAAAATTATGTAAAAAAGAAATTTTATGTAAATCTGCTACACTTTATTATTTGCTTGTTTGTTTCATTCACATGCTGCCCAACTCCAAACTGATTCTAAGCAGCTCACAGTATAAAACAATGTAAACTTAAAATGTACCTAAAACACTAAGCAGATAGCAAATCCAGTCAACATGTAAAACATATCACATCACTCGGCAAAACCTCCAACCAGCCTAACCAAAGCTTAAGAGAAGAGTCTTCTAGAGGGCCATCCTGGTGGAACCTGTGGCAGAGAAAGAACACTTCCTTGGCCCCAAATAAGATACAGTTTAATCAAAGGATGGGGTTCTGTTTGTAAAAGATGTCTTTTACAGAAAAACAGATCTATTTTCCACACAGCAAATAATAAATTTCAGAAATGCTCTAATGCTAAAATAAAATGTAAAACAAATTACAAACTTGGCTTACCTTTTCCTTAATGTTGATTCACCAACTTTAACCACTCTGATTACTTCTTTAACAGTGCGCCGAAAATCATGCATTCTTGCTGCAACAAGGAGAGCTAGAACATAAAAAAGAGAATCACATCAAAAGGGCATTCGGGATGGAGGGAAGCAAAGGAATACATTAAATCATATAGGTGGCATTGGAAATTCTATTTCTCATATTAATTTCAAAATACTGATGGATTTCAGAAAGATTAAACTGGAATTTTATAAAATTTACTTTGCATGCAGAAATATTACATCAGCGCAAACAAACTTTAGAAAAAGCAGTATGGCGTAATACTCAACCTCAAAAAAATATTTCACCTAGATAGACTGCCTCCTTGCACACATACACACATGTAACATGCACAGACAATTAGGGGGAAATGTCCTAACACCACAATAGCACATGTGTTTGCTTTTTTCCCCACATTATTTCAAAACTTGTACATATGTTCCATTTTTACCATGCAGTATTTACATAGTAAAATTATCTCAATAAAAAGTAATTGCATAACATCATTCAATGCTTTCAGTATTTCAGTTCAAGGTTCAGAGCTCCTCAACAGTGTTTTTAAGCTAAAGTTGGGAGATATGTCTTAATGTATATTTTCCACAACACAGAAAAGATCATAATAGCTGTGGTGGCACAGTGGTTAGACTGCTCACTGCCAGGAGTTTGATTCTGACTGACTCAAGGTTGACTCAGACTTCCATCCTTCCGAGGTCAGTAAAATGAGGACCCAGATTGTTGGGAGCAATATGCTGTAAACCACTTAGAGAGAGCTGTAAAGCACTATGAAGCAGTATATAATTCCAAGTGCTATTGCTATTGCTATATCCCCAACAATTCTGTTCATCTTCTACTAGGTGCAGAAAGAAAGCCACAATTGAAATATTAATTGGTGGCTACCAACTAAAAAAAAAAATTCTTGGGAAGAAATAAAAAAGGAAAAAAAATGGCTAGACATCCTTTCTCTCTAGCTCAAACTATCAGTAGTTTAACTAAATACTGTCTTCTTCACTTTTAAAATTCAGAAGTCTAAATATATTGTTTATTTAATGTACTATTTTAAAGTAGTTTTATCCCACCCTTCTTATCAGGTTCAGTTAGTCCTTGGCTTATTACCACAATTGGGACTGAAATTGCCATCATAAGTCAGCATGATTGTATCCTGTGACTTAGGACAGCAATCCTAGCACTCACAGACTCATTGATCATTAAGGCAGTACCCAACCTAATCTAAACCATTCTGGACTTGGTCCCTCTCATCTCCAAGCCTCAAAAGGGAAGGGACTGACTCAAAATCTCCCCACCCACCCCCCATATCTGGTTTTTGGCCACCCTGTACCCTACTTTTCAAGAAAAGCAAGTAGCCACAGATCCACATGGCTCTGGGACTATCACCAGCCCAGCAAGCAGCAGTCACCCAGCACTCTCACCATTCTGCACTTCACCACCCCAGTTTATCTTCCCCATCTTCTTATTCTCACGGCTGACGAGGCATGCCTACCTTGTCCCTTGTCACACAGGCAGAAAAAGCAAGCCAGCCAAAGGAAGCCCCTTCATGCACAGTTGACAAAGGCAAGCCCATTTGCACCATGCTGCTGTGTCGGGCTGGGGTGGGTTTCCTGGCCTGCTGCAGATCTATAACTGTTTCTTGCTTGCTTCTGTTTCTTTGTGGTACAGCAGGAAGCCCAGTGCAGCAGCATGGCACATTGCTTTTGCCAGCTTTATGCAAAAGGGTATGCTTTTACCAGATTGCTTTTGCTGGCTTTGCAGTGGGGCTTGTTGGCATGAAAGACCAGGTCGGGAATGCCTCATTGGCAGTGGGAGCAAGAAAGAGCAAAGATAAACTGAAGCGGCTGAGCACAGAGAGGCAGGGGGACAAAAAAAGCATAAATGGAGGGAGGAGAGACAGGCGGAGGGGAGAGGTATTGCAACACCCCTATGGTTAAAAATGCAGGCTGGCTGCCACATGCCCAAATTTTGATCATGTGACCATGAAGGGGAGTGCTGCAACAGCTATAACTTCAGACACAGGCTTTAGTTCCATGTTTTTTTATCAGGGTTCAAGCAATTTATGAACGAATGGTCATAAGCGGGGGCCACTCGTAATGGCTTATTTAATATCTTTATCACACACAATGGAACCACCACCCATGAGCTTATAATCAAAAGAAATAAGAGGTAGTGAGAGAAGAAGAGCCAAAGTAGGATCAGGGATGAGCTCTTAAAGTGCTCTATTGTGCTAATCAGTTTGAAGGACAAAAGTCTGATCTAACAAGTCTCTCAACATCTTCTTCCAGAGATGTCCAACAAATCCAGTCTTTCTCTCCACTGTAACAAGATGTCACATGCAAAATAGCAGAAAAATGGAAGCGTAGCACAATCCTTCTTCTACTTATAGCTTCTGTGTTCCAAGTGCCCTCTGTAAGTCATTTTTCCCTTTTTTGTTTCAAACGTATTTGCCTCTCCAGGACATCAGAGAAAGCAAAAATAGCTCTTGCATCTTAGGGTTTTGTCCCATGCATCTGTCTGTAGTATATACTTTGGTTCTAGAAGGTTCTTATATATAGGCCATGAAAGAACTATAGCTTGACCAACTTGTTCTGATCATGGCAAAATGGGCAGCAAACAAATTTAATAAATAAATTAAGGCACACAGCCTTAATATATTTGTTTATTACTGGACTCTACTAAGATACTGCTGAATATAATTAGGATTGTTAAACTGTCAGTTATTCAGTTAAACCATAAGACTTCTTTTCAGCGTAATCCATTGTTTTCATGTTCTTTTTATACAACTTTTATACAATGCCTTATAGATAATCTGCACTTTCTGCTTGTGGAATAATACGACCACCGTGATACTCTGGTTTATGGCCAAGGATTAGATTAGTTTTTAAAGTTTGTATCTAACTTGATTCATCTTGACATTAAATTTATATGTACATATTCGCCTAAAAACACAACATTCTAAGAGTGAACATATGCAACTGCTTCTTACAAAATGAAATATACGTAACATATTTCTTTGCCACTAGCTGTTGCCACCCCACACACTCCAATTCATAAGTTCTGCAATACCTGCACCACAAAGCCCTGATGGCCGTCGACCTGTATGCATCCAGTCTCTCTTCATCTGCTGCAGGAGCCTTAAGGCTGTCATGGAGACTTCATGGTTCTTATCACCAAACTCGAGCATGTGTGCAAAACGAGGAATATATAAACATGGATCTGCCCAAAGCAAGATAAAAAAAGTTAGTTATTACCCACTGTAACTTTTTCTCTTCTATACAGAGCCTTCTCAGATTTCCAACTCGACTTACAGAAAACACTTCACTGTCCAATTGTTTCTCCAGCTGTAGACATGAGATTGTGTTTACTCTTAGGAACAAAAAGAATTGTTCTGCTTGTGGAAGGTCTTTGTTCTGGCAGAAACCTCTACTAATGGAAGGTGATGTTTTGCTGATTATGTCTTCCCTCTGGAACTCTCAGCACCATTTTCTCCAATCAGATATGCAAGGACTACTAGGAGAATGGGCATTATTCAAAATTCACCATTGCTTTCATTAGGACATGTCTGACAACAAACAGCCTTCAGTGAACTGAAATATATTGCTGAATATAATTAGGGTGGTTAAACTATCAGTTAATTCTAATTGTATGGACCAGCCAAGATACCAAATGTCACATGAGACACACACACGTGTTTAAAAAAATGCACTGTAGAAAGTGGCTACTTTGGATCAAGGAAAATCAAGGAGAGATGTTTCGCATTTTCCTTTCTATTCAGTATCTGTTTAAAAGTGACCATCTTTTTTGAAACTTCAGTAGAAACAGATACAAAATCTGTATTGCCAAGTCAGTAATATCCTCATCCAAGTCAATCCTGGATGTTCTTGCAATGCAGAACAGCAATGGAGGAATTAGTACTAGCTAGAAAAAGAACTGCATATTTTAAGTTTGCAAACCAAGTAGAATACATTGTGACACATGATTTAAAAAGACCTATCAAACTTGAGATATTCAAATATATATTTCCACATAAACTATGAAGTACAGAATAAATAGGTCCAGTCAATCAGTGTTGATAGGCCCTAAATTACTTGATTCCATATTTCCAAATCCAAGATCTGTCATAGATCAATGCAGCAAGCGTGCAATGAATAATATTTCCAATCACACAGACCTATCAACACCATTCCTTAAGTGTCCAAATGTGTTGAGACCAAACCTCACTATACCTACAGACTATACTGTAAAATTATGATGGCATGAAAAATCAGGAATTGTAATCCCAAACATCCCTGGGAAGCACCTGGATGAGAATACTAATACTAATGAGTAATATCCTCATCCAGGAGGGTAACAAGCAAGAGGAAAATCATCCCATGTGCAATTTAATATTACTTGAGACTTCTTTGAAGATACTACGTTAGTTAAAAATTCCACATTAACAAACGAAATTATTTTGCTTCTACAGAAGTACAGTATTAAATTTCTCATCTCCAAAGCCATTGTATAATAGATGAAAGTTTCAGCCATCTCCCATTATTAACACAGACTAATTTTGCTTTCATATCTCTCTTTTATTGAAGATTAATTTAAAGTCATCAACAGAACCAAGCCAAAAGAATAACTTCCAAACATCAACTTAAGCTTTCATTAAAAAAAGTCAAATTGGTTGAGAGTTCTTCTATGCTGAAAAGTATATCTATTATGCCATGAAATTAACCCCATTGGTAATAACTGATTTCTAGTCCCTGAAACCAGAAATATTTGAGGACAATTTTAAATGCAATGGATTATTTATATCAAAGATACAACTTTGTGCAGTGTACTGCTCCATTTTGATTATGTGGATTAATGTCTCCTGAATGATTTGAAGGTACAGTGAAATCAATGTCTACCTAGACTATATAGCTGCTATTTGTAATTTAAGGGATTTTATGCTACATTGCTATGGTGTTAACAGCATGCTCCAATCTATAATTGTTCCTCAGTGTTACAGAAAAAGAAAACAAGATTTTAAGTTCATTATTTGCATTACAAAAAATATAAACAACTGTATTCCCCATCATAATAATTATATTCAATAACCAAGACATTAAAATATACTGCCAGGAGACAGAAGAAGCTATCAAAGTTACCAAAAGACAGATTTGGCTATGATTATGAAATTACAGGAAACAATCATGGTTTCCAAAGCTTTCCACTGAGGAACACTGTCAGTTTTCAATATCAAGGGGTCCTCTCATATAGATGTCATATATTATTGGGGAAGGGGTGCTTGAGCTGAAGTTTTACATCAACAGCTAAAGCTACTATAGCAATAGCAATAGCACTTACGACTTATATACTCTTCACAGAGTTTTACAGCTCTCTCTAAGCGGTTTGCAGAGTCAGCATATTGACCCCAACAATCTGGGTCCTCATTTTACCGACCTCGGAAGGATGGAAGGCTGAGTCAACCTTGAGCCACTGAGAATTGAACTGCTGAACTGCTGGCAGCCAGCAGTCAGCAGAAGTAGCCTGCAGTACTGCATTCTAACCATGCACACCACAGCTGTTATAATTTCACTTTGGAATTAAGCTAACCTTTATGCCATTTTTTACTGTGAGCACTGGCCCACATTCTGAAATTCTGTTGCCTGCTCTCAAAAGAAAGTATATATCTACACACACACACACACACACACACACACATACACACATAAATATTAATCACTGTCCATTTTGAATATATAGCAGAATGAGGAAACTTGAGAGTTCACAAGGTTGATGCTATATGGAACAAAACTGTGACTAAATCTGGACGTCCCAGTGGTTAACAGTACTCTGGGTACCATACCAAAAAGTCTTGGACTACAAAATCTGTGCATTGACAAAAGCTGATACCTTGCTCTAGAGACTATAAATATAGTTTTCAACTTACAACCATTTGTGACCATTTGAAATTACAACATCACTGAAAAAAACTGACTTATGACTGGTTTTCATACTTACGATTGTTGCAGCATCTCGGTGATCATTTGGGCACTTGACAACTGACAGATGCACTGTTGCAGAATCATGTTTGTAAGCTTCCCAGCAAGCCAATGGGGGAAGCCAGATTTGCTTAATGACGACATGATTCACTTAATAAATGCAGTGATTCATTTAACAACCATGGCAAAAAAAAGGTTGTCAAAAGGAGTGGAACTCACTTAACAAGTGCCTTGCTTAGCAATCGAAATTTTGGATTCAATTACGGTCATAAATCAAGGATTTGATCTATTTTAATAGACTTAGTTGTCTTCTGTTAGTTACTAGGTAGTTACCGGTACTTCTGTCAGTTACTTAGTTATCTTCTGCTAGTTACTAAATGAGGCACACAATAAAATTGCATTTTTGTGAGATTTTCAGCTTTCAGCTTTCATTTAGGTGACTAATTTCATGTATTGAGCAGTGCAATATGATGTTGAGCAATTATCCAATTTAAAAAAAACGTTCCATTGGCTTTTTTCAGTGCTTTAAGAAAGGTATGTCTTTTGGGAAACTAGCTTAAATCAAATGACCAAGCTCTGTTTTGTTCTCTAATTTTTCACTGGACATACTAATTTCTCATTTCCTCTGATGTCAATTATTAACTATTATATTCAACCCCATGTCTTTAGCTGATGCCCTGTTGAGCAATTCCACAAATAAAGAAGGGGCTTTGTCTGAAATGGATTTATAATTAATTAAACTTAAATAATCACTGCTAAGCATCAACATTGTTATGTACTATTTTTTGTTTTCACGTGTTCAGAAAGACTATGCATATGCATGATCACCTACATAACATACAAATTTTCAGACAACCAGAAGCAGTACACGTTTGCAAAAAAACTAAATAATTATTAAGTAGGAGAGTTGAATACCTTAATATTTTTAGAGGAAATTCAAACATCAACTTAAATATGATGGTTAGATATATAATGTAGGTACTACTAAATCAAATGCTATAAGCTAACCAAACTATTTAGGAAAAAGGTAACATTCAGATTAAAAGCAAATCCTGTACATTTCTGGCATAATGTGTGTTAATTAGCAAGCCAAATGGTGATGCCAAAAGCTTGTCTCTGAGAGAAGATCTTGTTGCTCTTTTTATATTTCTTAGCTGCGTTGGGAATCTGGGTGAAGAGGAAGGTAAACATGCTTACAAAGAGAGAGTGTCAGAGACAGAGAAAGAGACATACAAAGGACTGTTATGTAATACTAAAGCCCCTGTTCAGATGCAACAAGAATTAGACAGTTTCCAACTGCATGAATCTGGTACAGCAAACCCTTGAGAGGAATGATCTCCAGATCTTTAGAAGCATGAGTTGGAGTTCAAATTTGTTTTCACCCATCTCATTCTTGATGCGTGAAGTGCAAATGATGGGGAATTATTATTTCCTGCATTCTCCTGTACAGAATAAAACTTCCTCCTTGCAGAGCAAAACAAAAACAAATGCTTCCTTCCTTTAGGAAAATACTAATCTGGGGACAAAACTATACAGAGAGAGCTTTTCCTCTTTCACAACTCACCCATTTTTACAATTTTGCCTTCTGCAAGTAGACCGGAAACAAACTGGCGGTCTATAATGTAACAAGACAATCAGTGCAAATTTTGTTGTAGAGTCGCTATTTTCAACTCCCAATATTATGAAGAAAAAAAAAGATTGACATGAATAAAATGTGGTGGAAGACAAGCGCTCTGTGTGTGTGTGTGTGTGCGTGCGCACGCGTGGTGTTAATCATATTCTTTCCCTCGTCACTCACCTTGAGCCACAACACCAATAACAGTCTGCTCTCAATTCGTGACGAGCAGGGCTCTTCTCTTTTTCCACCCCTGCTTCGAGCGAAACGTTGAAAACTGTACGACACTGAGAGGCGCGCGTCCCACTGACAAGGCTGAGGGGAAGCGCCAGGATAAGTGCCCCTTTCTGCCTGATCGGTGCTTCTCCTAGACCGGGAGACCTCAGGAGAAGCGCCAGGATCAGCCCCCCTTTCTGCCTGATTGGTGCTTCTCCAAGGCCGGGATAGCTCCGCCCCTTTCTGCCTGATCAGCTCTTCTCCAAGGCTGGGAGAGCTCAGGGGAAGCACCAGGATCAGCGCCCCTTTCCACCTGATCGGTGTTTCTCCAAGGCTGGGAGAGCTCGGCCCCTTTCTGCCTGATTGGCGCTTCTCCGAGGCCGGGAGAGCTCAGGGGAAGTGCCAGGATCAGCGCCCCTTTCTGCCTGATTGGTGCTTCTCCTAGACCTGGAGACCTCAGGGGAAGCACCAGGATCAGCCCTCCTTTCCTCCTGATCGGTGCTTCTCTGAGGCCAGGACAGCTCGGCCCCTTTCCGCCTGATCGGCGCTTCTCCGAGGCCGGGAGAGCTCAGGGGAAGTGCCAGGATCAGCACCCCTTTCTGCCTGATCGGTGCTTCTCCGAGGCCGGGAGAGCTCAGGGGAAGCGCCAGGATCAGCTCCTCTTTCTGCCTGATTGGCACTTCTTTGGGAGCTGATCCTGGTGCTTCTCCTGAGCCCCGAAGAAGCACCAATCTCCTGGAAAGCGGCATTGATCCCGGTGCATCTGCTGAGCCCTGAAGAAGCGCCTATCATCTGGAAAGCAATATTGATCTGAGCCAGTGCACTCACACACACACAAACACATGTGAGCAGTTACAGCTGAAGGCATTTCAGCCTTCAACTATGGCTCCCAGTTCTCTGGCGCCTCATTGGCTCAGGCCAGCCATCTGTCAGAATCTACGTCCCGTGATTGGCTGGCTCCCTCAATGCGTCCCTCCCTTGCAGAAAGGGTTTGGCTCTTCATGCTGGCTTGCCCCCTCGCGGGGCTCCTGATACTGTAGGCCCTGTTAGCCGGGAAGGTGCACCAGAGTCCCGGCTGCCAGTAAGGTGATCGACCCACTCCTCTCCCATTGCCCACTCTGCCTGGCTCGAGCCTGGCTGAAGCAGCCTTGGTGCTTCCAAAGGTGGCCCCTTCAAAGTCACACGGGCAGCCCTCGGCCTCTCCCCTCCCCTCCGCGCCTCCAAATCGATCCCCAATCGGAGAGGGGGGGAAGGAGGAAGAGAGGGAGGGAGAAAGAGAGAAAGAGGGAGAAAGAGAGGGAGAGAGAAAGAGAGAGGGAAAGAGAGAAAGGGAGAGAGGAAGGGAGAGAAAGACAAAGAGGGAGAAAGAAAGAAAGAGAGGAAGAGAGAAATACAGAGAGGGAGAGAGAAAGGGAAAAAAGAGAGGGAAAGAAAGAGGGAGGGAGGGAGGGAGAGAGAGAGAAAGAGAGGGAGGGAGAGATAGGGAGAGAAAGAGAAAGAGAGGGGAAGAGAAAGGGAGAGAGAGGGAGAGAGAAAAAGAAAGGGAGATAGAGAAAGAGAGAGGGAGAGGGAGAGAGAGAAAGAAAGAGGGAGACAGAGAGGGAGAGAGAAAGAGGAAGAGAGAGATTAAATTAGTAACATGGTTGTTAAGTGAATCTGATTTTCCAACTAACTTTGCTTGTCAGAAGGTTGCATGATCCTGGAACAAAGTGTCCATCATAAATATGAATAAATATGAATCAGTTGCCAAGCATCAAATGTAAATCACATGACCCTGGGGATGTTGCAACGATCATAAGTGTGAAAAATGGTCATAAGTCACTTTTTTCAGTGCCATTGTAACTTTGAACAGTCACTAAGCAAACTGTTGTAAGTCAAGGACTACCTGTACTTTATCACTTTTTTCCTTTTTTTGGGGTCAAGTTTTTGACACCTCACTAGGTGACTGGTGGTACTCAAATGTTGCCATATTCTAAAAGTGGTACAATTGGTGAAAAGGTTGAAAAGCCCTGATCTAAATAATATTATCAGTAGGAGTTAATCCACCGTTTTTCCAACAAAATTGGAAATACTTTTATTTTTAATGTGATGTTGTAATAAATTCTAATCCAGGAACTCTCAGTTTCATTGCTTAATTTTCTTTCCATCTTACTGCTTATCTTCAAACCCAGTTTGTTTTTGTGATTAATCACTATGTTTTAATTATGTTCAATTTGTAACAATGAAAATACATCCTGCATATCAGATATTTACATTACGATTCATAACAGTAGCAAAATTACAGTTATGAAGTAGCAACAAAAATAATTTTATGGTTGGGGGTTACCACAACATGTGGAACTGTATTAAAGGGTCACGGCATTAGGAAGGTTGAGAACCACTCTCTAGATGGTATTCTTACTGGGAGAACAACATGTACATTTTGTGCAATTATTGGGAATCAATGTCAATTACAGGGACTTTTTAAGAATAGAATCTACAATAGGAAAACCACACTCATGACTGAATCTAATAAATGTTAATTTATTAATCTATCCATAACATTTGCACAATTCTGTATAAAAATAAAAATAATAATTCACTAGCATTTTTAGTTTTCAAAGTATGTACACATAAATTTTACAAACATTATCTTACAAAATATCATCCTGGATAAGACTACCCAACTTTCTGGAAGAAATAGTAACAATAAAAAAATTAAATATCCAGGCATCTATATAAAAACTAACTGGGCCAGAACTACAAGGTTTTTCAGTCATTTTGTTGATAGTTTCATCTTTCAGAAAAGTAAAAACATTGGCTCTCTCAGAAGTGGTTCTAACCCAATGGTGGCGAACCTATGGCACACATGCCAGAGGTGGCATTCAGAGCCCTCTCTGTGGGCATGTGCGCCATTGCCCTAGCCCTGCCTCCCCCTGCGGCCCCCTCCTCACCAGCAGCCCCTGCGGAGTCACCCCCAGGCATAGCCCGCGTAGAGCAGTGCAGCCAAGAACATGGCAGCCAGGCAGCAGGGACAAGACTCTGCCTTCATGCCCCGACACATGCAGATGATGCTGCTGGGTATGGGTGGAGGGCGTGGCTGCCATGAAGCTACAGGGCTGCCTGGCGATATGCGGTAGGCTGTGGAGGTGGTGGTGGTGGGTGGCCCTGAGAATGGGCGGGACGGAGCAGGGGGAGGAGTGGGTGTGAAGCAGGTTCACCATCACTGTTCTAACCGATAAGAAAGCATGGGTTGATGAGATGGATGCAATTACAACTTTAGGAGAAAGTCATTATGTCATATTGAAGTTCAAAGAACTACAAAAAAAATAAGTACATGCATACACATGCATTAGATTTCAGGAGAGCCATTTCAAGTCTTGGAGAAGCACTAATGAAGATCCTTTGGACAGAAATTCTGAGGCCAAAATGAATGCAGGGGAATTGGGAATGCCTCAAATTAAGATACTGAAAGCACAGTCCCACACTATTCCTGCCAGGAACAAGCGTGGAAACAACCTGTAAGTACACTTTGAAAGAGCAGAAATGTTAGGATCATACATTTGGAGGGGGGGGTGAATTTACTCAATGCAGGAGTGACTATCAGAAAATCTAGACCGCTCCCTTGTTAATTTCTCCCCTTAGTAGGCTACAGAGCCCCTTTGCATATCTGTCACCTTAGCAAGATGTGTGGACTTCAACATGGCTGGCTAGGGAAATTTTTGGAGTTGATATCCACACATCTTAATGTTGCCAAAGTTGAGAAATACTACTTTAGTGGTGTTTGCAAATTCATGGAGGACAGATGAACTGACCAAGTATTGGAGAAGGGCAAATCTTGAGCATTCATAACTGAAATAGAGTCAGCTCAATGTCAGTACAAGTGTATTCTGGAACAAATTATTAACAGTAGAGATGAGTACTTTTTTAAAAAAAAAAAAGCTTTTTGGGAGCCAGTTTTGTGAACTTGTTGCACCAAAGCTTCTACCACAACTAGTACAAAACGTTTTGTTGCAGCTTTAAAACAATAACATTTATTTTGACTGCCATTTCCTGGACAGTTTTTTTTTTGTTTTTGTTTTTATTTCCTGTGGATAAGGTTTTAAGGCCTGAAGTCATCTCCAGACACACACACACCCCAGACAGACACACACACCAAACATCCGTTTCCAAGCCCTTTCAAGATGTTAAGAACGAAATGAGACACACGGCTCTCAACGTTCAAAAAATTTGGGCGAAAACTCTCCCGTTTTTGCCGGCACCTTTGATAACTCCGCCTTGCTTTCAGACTGATAACGTCTGAAAAAGCACTGGTTTGGTTGATTCCCCCCCACCCCCAAGCTTTTGCCCAAAAAAGTTCAAACGGAGCCAGAAAAGATGCCTGAAAAGGAGCATTGTGCGAGGGACGGCCAGAAGGAGCATGGGCGCCCTCGCTAGGCCGCCCAGAAAAGACGCCTCTCAGGCTACTGCTGCGCTAAACTGGGATCAGCTAGGCGCTGCCTCCCGCCTAACTGATGCTGCCAGAGCCTTCCGCTTTCATAATCATGGCTTCTGACTCCAAGGAAAAGCCTGCAGTGCAAACTTTCCCGACTGGGTTCCGGCAAAGGGAAGCCTGGTGAGAGCGACCGGGTACTGCCTTCTACTGGGGAATTGCCGGGAGGGGGTGCGCGATTGGGGGGAGAGGGGAGATGATGGGATCGGCGCCGCAGCAGAGTTTTTGAACTGCAGGACGGCTGGCGCTCAACGCGGGCTGCTGCCTCGAGGGATTTCCGAAAGACGCGCTCTCTCTTCCCTCTTTTGCAAACGGTCTAAATAAAATTAAAAGCGCCCATGGCTAGATGGCATCGAAGCCGGAGCTAGGGCAGAATTCACCTACCCCGATCGCCTTGGGAGCGAGCAACCGCAACGAGGCAAGCTCAGACGAGATCTCCCGGGGGCGAGAGGGGGGGTGAGGGGGGGGTGAGAGGAATATCCCAAGCAACCGAAAGAGGGGAGGGATGAGCCGGCATACCAATTTAAAACAATAAATAATAAAACTTTGTTTCTTCTCAAAGGAATATCGACCCTTCCTAAATGGGTTTACTTCTGGAGGAGTTTCTGTGACTCCTTTTGGGAGGGTAGGGCGGGAAGGAGGGTTTCGTTTCGCCGTCACTCCCACTGCTCCGCTGCAGCATTTTTTTTTTTTTTTTTACGTGTGTGTTCGCGCGTGCATTTATCTCCCCTCCATCCAACAGTGAGAGTGAATTTGGGTTTCCTGTAAATTTCCCAAATGGAGGAGGGGACTGGATTGATGGGAGAGGAAAGCGCGGAGGGAGGGCGGGAGGGAGGGCGTGTGGGCGGTTCGAGAGAGCGAGCGAAGAATGACAGATTGTCTAGCGAGAGAGGCCGGCCCTCCCGTTTGTGCCCTTTCGCCATTGGAGCAGTCGCCGATGACGCGCAATGCTGCTGCTGACTATTTGAGGCAGCAGCAACATTGGGAAGAAGTGGCGGTGGTGGTGCTAACAACAGCGGGGAGACGGGAAGGAAAGCACGTACAGGCGAGGAGCGCACACGCGGACGGCCACGGGCGCCCAGTCCTGCAAAGCTGCGACTCCTACCGACTTTCGAAATAGGACAGGGTAGGAAGGAGACCCGGCCTCGCCAGGAGGCGAGAAAAAGAAGCATCTCCAGCCCGGCGCCGGAGACCACAAGAACCCGGACTCCAGCGTAGAGGTCGATGCTTCCCTCTCCTGCAGCTTGGCTTGGCGAGTGTCGCTTTTAAAGCAAAAAGGGGACGGGAAGGGACAGAAAAAACTTCCGCTCGTAAGAAAAGCGGCCGGATCGTATGCCTCTCTCCTTCGCCATCCTTCGGCCTCTGGGATTTTACCGCTCGGGAGACTGAGGACTTGCAACCTGAATTGTGGAATAATAATAAATAACCATAAGCGAGATCTACAGCTGCTTCGCGGATGTTGGCCCTTCGCCCGGAAAACGGGCGAAAGCCGGGTTTCCTGCTTTCGCGTGTCCTCCCGCCTCACCGAGAACCTTGGCAGAAGTTTACATTGCTCCGGGGTCAGGGGCTGCTCTCGCTTCTTAAAGGAAAATCGGCATCGTAACAGCTCCTTGGACTTTCCGGAGCGGGATCCGGGCAAATCCTGCCCCGCGGCTTGCGCTTCGGAGAGCCTTGCACCATCCCCAGCGTCCTTCCCTCCCCACCGCCAGGTGAGCGATGAGTCATTAAAGCATCATCGCTGCGCCACCAGCCGGAACACAAAAGATGCTTTAGGCACCAATCCTTCAAACAAGGCGCTGTAGTTTGTTTTTGCTGTCCTTCAAAAGGGGTTTAAAAAAAATCTTTCTAAGCGAGAGTGCGCTCGACTGATGGCCGCGGAGGGGGATCCCTCCCGCTGATGCCCCTGGACCATGATTGCTTCTATGGGCGGATCATGAAGTGTTTGACTTTCTTTCTTCTGCTTCCAGAGACCTTAAAGAAGTCCAAAAAGAGCGTCCGGGCCAACAGCAAAGGGGCACCATGCTATGAGATATTGCCCCTGGGCCTCAAAAAGAAGATGGCTGCGGAACTTTACCCTGCCAGCGCCAATACCAATCTCGCAAACAGCAATAACGCCGCCGCCGCCAACACCAAGAAAAACGCCCTTCAGTTCCAGCAGAGCGCGCAGCCCCCGCCGCCGCCGCCGCTGCAAAACCTCAACAACAACAACGTGGAGAGCGCTAACTGGCAGTCCTTCCACCCCACCCTGCGAGAGAGGTAAGCCCCGCTCGGGCAAGTAGCCCAGAGAAGGAAACGCGTTGAGGCGGCGGCGGCGGCAAGAGGAAGGGAGGGCAACTTAAAGGCAGCGATTGAGAGCGAAATAGACTCTCCCTTCAGAGCGAAAAGCTTCAGCACTTGCTGCAAGAACCTGGGCGTGAACTTTGTGCTGGCTTTCTGAAAGGGCTTTCCCACACCAATGCTTTCCATTGCAATAATAGGCAATGGAATTCACGTCTCTGGTATAATCAAAGGGTACCGCTTATGCTTGTGGGGAGTTGAAGGGTTTTCAGAAACTGGGGAGGTTGTTCCTATCTTCCTCAGCAAGTGGGAGCTGATCATGTCTAGGCTCAGAAGCTAAGCAGGGATAACCTCATTGTATTTGGATGTGATCCTTCAGGGAATATCAGTGCTGGGGACTATCTAAGAAGCTCAAAACATCTTGGAAGGCCTCAGTTAACAAACTGTTTCTGTGGTGCTACCAAGAAAACTGCATGGGTGCCCACAAAATCTCAAAAGTCAGTTGAACATTTTTCTTAATGTTGCTACTTGGTGCTACTTGTCCTCTTCTGGTCACAAGCCAAGACAGAAAAGAGCTATTGCAGTAATGATTGAAACAGTTCCAAAAAAGAAGGGATAACCTGCATTGATTGGGAGGGAAGAAAAAGAAAAGAGTGTGGATGGCAAGGGTAAAGGTGTGGGGTTAATCCTGTTTCCGTTTTGTAAATCTACAGAAACGCACTGATGTTCAACAGTGAACTTATGGCTGATGTGCATTTCATTGTGGGCCCAGTGGGGGCAGCAAAGAAAGTTCCTGCTCACAAGGTTGGTGGGATCTTTTCTATTTGTGCCATGTAGATGAATTGTGTATTAAAAGATGCTTGTTCTCTTGCCCTCTTAACCCAGTGGGGGCATTGTTGCACAAGTGCAACAAAACAATTGCCTAAAAATATCAGAATATATTTCTTTCCAGTTAATCTGCAGATGAGTTGTGGTATAGGGGAGGGGAGGGATCCAACTCTGATAGCGCGTTTCAAAAAAAAATTGTGCTGATATATTCTGCTCTAAACCATTATAGCTAAGGGGGGAGATAAGAAAACTACTGTAATGTATGTGATTCTCTGCCTACCACATTATCCCTGATTTGGAATTTATAATTTTTAATGCAGTATGTATTGGCAGTGGGTAGTTCGGTCTTCTACGCAATGTTTTATGGAGATCTTGCAGAGGTCAAGTCTGAAATCCATATACCAGATGTAGAACCTGCTGCTTTCCTAATCTTGTTAAAGTAAGTAGCAATTAAAACAAGTTACTAATTGCATGACTTTTTAAAACAAAAAAATTAAGGAACATGAATGTAAAGTTTAAAATCATCTGAAGATGTTGAAAGCTGTAACTAAGAGTTGTGTATTTTTCTTTTTAAAAAGGGAATCTTTTTATATTGATAGGTACATGTATAGTGATGAAATCGAGCTGGAAGCAGACACTGTGCTTGCTACTCTGTATGCAGCCAAGAAATACATTGTCCCAGCCTTAGCAAAAGCTTGTGTCAATTTTCTGGAGACTAGCTTAGAGGCCAAGAATGCTTGTGTTCTGCTGTCTCAGAGCAGGCTCTTTGAGGAACCAGAGCTGACCCAACGCTGCTGGGAAGTCATTGATGCTCAAGCTGAAATGGCACTGAAATCAGAGGGCTTCTGTGAAATAGATCAACAGACACTAGAGATCATTGTGATGCGGGAAGCACTAAACACCAAGGAGGTGGTGGTGTTCGAGGCAGTTCTGAACTGGGCCGAGGCTGAATGCAAGCGACAAGGGCTGCCAATTACGCCAAGGAACAAGAGGAATGTATTAGGGAAAGCTTTATACTTGGTTCGGATTCCAACCATGACTTTGGAAGAGTTTGCCAATGGGGCTGCTCAGTCTGATATCCTAACCCTTGAGGAAAGACATAATATTTTCTTGTGGTATACCGCTGCAAATAAACCGAAGTTAGAATTTCCACTAACAAAGCGGAAAGGACTTGTACCACAAAGATGCCATCGATTTCAATCCTCTGCATATCGCAGCAATCAATGGAGGTACCGGGGACGATGTGACAGTATCCAGTTTGCTGTAGATAAAAGGATATTTATAGCAGGACTTGGACTTTATGGGTCAAGTTGTGGAAAAGCTGAATACAGCGTCAAAATTGAACTGAAGAGGTTAGGCATTGTACTTGCCCAGAATCTGACAAAGTTTACATCCGATGGATCTAGTAACACTTTCTCAGTATGGTTTGAGCATCCTGTGCAAGTTGAGCAAGACACCTTTTACAATGTAAGTGCCATTCTAGATGGCAATGAACTCAGTTATTTTGGACAAGAGGGAATGACTGAAGTACAGTGTGGAAAAGTGACATTCCAATTCCAGTGTTCCTCAGACAGCACCAATGGCACAGGAGTGCAAGGAGGACAAATACCTGAACTCATTTTCTACGCATGATGCATTTCACTTAGATTGTATTCCAGGGCTGTCCTGCATATTAATAGATACTCTGACTGAAAGACTACAGAGCAGATCAGAATATTATAGTACTTACTTATTTACCATCAGGCTATGAAACTAAGTGAAGGAATGCTCTTGAATTTAATCTTATTTTATTTATTCATAAGCTATTTGACTTAATTATTAAACTGCAGTATGCAGAGCAAGAAATGTTTAAAAAATTGCACATGATGTGCATTTATTTTGTATATAGACAACTAACGGCTGAGACTGACTCAACTAGAATGTTATAAAGTAGAGCAGTTTGAGAACATGTTGAATATAAAACATTTTTACTTGTCCTAAATCCTTATGTGCTTTGCTCATTATTAATTCTCTGATACTTGAACTACATCCACATATGCAGAAATAGTAACACTTTTTTTAAAGATGAAACCTAAGGTGCTATAATCCACATCTATTTCTATAAGCAAAACCTCTTACTAACACTGAAGACATGTTTGAAACTAAGATTGCAGTAAAGAACTTTTTTTTATATAGCATTAGTGTAATTCCTTGTCCCTAAAGCATCAGTAAAATATAATTTCCCAGGAGATTAATTTCTTGACACAAACATGTGTACAAAGAAAAGATACGCCTAAAATTTCAGAATTCTGTAACATAGCTACAGGATCTGCAGTATAATCAAATTGTTATATAGTGCTTTCTTTCCTCTTAACCAACAAAAGCCAGTTCACATTAGCTGTGTTCATAAGATCATGATTAATCTACCCAGCACACACCAATCGAGCTTTGTATGTTTTATCAATATAGCTGCCAGGCCTTTACTTGACTTATTTAAAAGTATTTCCAAAATGGTAAGCTAATAACTACAGGCAGGCAGCTATTTCCTCTCACAAAACATTTTTCACTACTCCGTTCCATGTGTCTAAACTGATTTGTCACAGATCATGTAATGAAATGCAATAATAAGCACATTCACTTGATTTTCAATGTCAGAATAAACAGGAATCTACTTTGAACACCATGGCATTTACTTCTGAGTAACTAAACTGAGGGTCATGCTGTTTAATTTAGTCTTTATAATTTAATAATCCCCCAGGAGGAGACTGTCAGCCATCTGTATATGTAACTATAGAGACAATGCAAGAGGCAAGCAACAAAGCTATCACAAAGCGTTATCTTGCAACTACTGTGCTCTACAAAATGAGGTATACTTAATGTCCTTCCACTCCTGTTCATTCATCAAGCCACAGGCACTTAACTGGGTAATATATGAATTAGGGTAAGTCGTATCTGCCAAGATCTAAAGGAGCTTATGTAACCAAGAGGATTCCAGATTTGTTTTCCATGACACATTTCTACCATAGGAGGGAAAAATATTTAACATAAATATGGGTATATATAATGCCCAATATAGTTCCTCATATAATAAGTATCCTTTTTAATAAGCATCAATCTAAAGTTACAAGATAAAAGCAAATACCTTTCAATCTCAATATTGTGCTGAATTCATATATTAAAATGTATGATATTAATATGATAATTGTGATCCATCTCTGAAAATTTAAAATTCCTGATAAGGACTACTTAACACAGCTATAGTCTTATTAAGTAAGACTTTCAGTCTAAGTAATTAGACTGAAAGAACATCTCTGAATTATATCATAAATACATATGCTATTATGTGAAACCAACAGCATAATCATCTAACCCACATGCACAACAAGCTAATTTAGGGAAACATCATGCATAGCTGGCCAGCACTGTTGCTAGGAGCATTGGTCAAAACATCTCTAGTTCAAATCTCTTCTCTGCCATTACCGCTGCATATGGTCACTTTCTCAGGGATAATGGTCTGTTTTAAGATTACTCAGATAATATACACGAAGTGCTTTAGACCCTCTAAAATGGTATATAAATTATTCAGAATGTCAGAAATGAATTATTCTACTTTTTGTTAGCAGTAAATTGACATTTTCTAACATATCATGCCACTTTCCCAGTATCTTCAGAAATGACTTAAAGTGTTCGGTTCATTTCCGATATTTGCCATGACATCCATGTAATAATGTTGTTACCACTGTTGATGCATCAAAGCTGTTAAGAACATTTTTATTGAGATTACCATAGATTACCAACTAGACTAGATGATATTATGCCCAACACAATAGTTGGGCATTTCTCTGTGCTTTCTGCAAAAATAGCAAGAGCACATTCCTTTTGTCACAGAAATGTTCTTTGTGCATTTAAACTGTCTAAGAGCTCTTACACAAAATTCATTTTTTTAAAAAAACCATCTTTTTCAAAATAAATCATAATGACCTGGTTTGCATACAAGTCTAAGCAATAATGAATAGCTTAGAAAAACTAACAGAGTATAGTATGTCTAAGCATTATGCATGAACCAGATCAAAGAGTCAGTGGTATATATAACACCACTATTATAATTACTGTCCACAAGTCATGATGTAGAAAGGATCATGTTTTGGATTTTGCAAAATTGCAGAAGCAGCACTTTTTTTTTTAAAGAGACAGGTCTCAAATCCCAAACTTTTAAGTAGATAGGCTTCAAATCCCTCTAAACTAATCAAGAACTTTATTATTCATTCACCTTTCCTTTTCTACCTTTAATACTGTAGGTCCTGATCACATATAATCCTGGGAAAGAATAAACTTTGTTTAAGCAGCTGTTGGCAAGTGCAATGTTCTATATTTGGGTTACGTTTCATGTTCATGCCTCTGCATGCTCTGAAGCACTATTTGCCATTAAATCCAAAGCACTTATTACCATCTTTATTTTATTTTTGTTGAATGTTAATTCAAATATATGTTTTGCTAGTTATTTCAAAAGATGGATACAACTGGAAGAAGTCACACTAATAATAGAAGTAACTGTTTTTTAGTTTTAAGGTAAACTCAGGGCTTACATAGACAGCTTTCATTTCTAGATTCCCCCAATCTTAATTCTGAAGTATCTTTAAATACTAGTTAAACAGCCCATGTAAATATTTTTGAAAAGATGCCATGAAATAATGGCACAATGTAACTACATATCAAAAGCCAACTCTTATTTAAAAATACCTATAGCTGGAGCATTTATGCAGAGCTCTCGGGCCAACAGAAGGAACGTTTTTCCCAGCACATAGACGTTCACCTGTATAAAGGAAAAAATGATTCTTTGAATTAAGAAACAGAAGAATAAATCTGTCTTTAGATGAAACAGCCTGAAAATAATCATCTAATGTTTAAATAAGTATCAAAATGTTTTCAAATAAATCCCAAAATTTCTCTGACAGAGCCAATTACTTATTCCACACACACGCGCACAAAATTCCTACTGACTGCATGTAATTTTGGCTTTGTGCTAGGAGAGGAGAAAAACAGCTTATATTTATATAAGATAGGGTAACCAATTTTCATTGGGCTCATTGGCCAGCAGTCCCTTCCTTTGAAAAGCTGCTTCTAAATCTTAGATGACCTTTCAGAACAAGATGGAATACAGCACAGAATTCTGCAGTAAGGCAAAATCATGAAAACTGCATATTTTGTATGGGAGCAGTTTAAAGCCTCTCTACTAATATGCAAAACTACAAAAACAGTTTTGTATTCTACAAAAACAGGTGATTTGTCATTTTCCGAGATTCTTCTCATATGTGAACTTCTATGTTCTTTTTAATAAGTCCTTTATTTTTCCTAAGCATTTTTATTCAGGTTTACATATCTCAGAATTTTAATCAGTAAAGTAGCAGGTGATTAGGTACTAGCTAAATTACAACACTGTTATTATTTACTGACATAAATAACTAATCCCCAAATAACTGAAATCTATATTGGTTTAACATTACTGGAATTGAAAAAGTATGGCTCCCAATTGCAAGATTGGTAATAAGATATGAGAAGTCTGTCTTAATTCTTCTACTTCAGAGATCCAGGTTCCAGGTTGTCTCTTTGAAATATATGGGGGAAAGAAGCTACATCAATCCTGCAGACAAATATACAAACTGTAACATGTCACTGCATATTCCAATATATGAAAGGTAAGTTTCTGAGATCAGGTGGAGGTGAAATTCCATGTGAATTACAACCTAAAAAAGAACTATCCTGTCATAAACTGCTGCGATTCCTGCAGTTTCAAAAATCTCTTCATCAGCCCACATGCAACGAAAGTAAAAATAAAAACAAGCAAGCAAGCAGCCTTGCACTTTATCCTCAGAGGTGTCAAAGAGAAGTGAGAAGTAGAAAAACATCTTCCCAGGACAAAGCGGAAAGTGCAAAATAGTCAACTTCCTTTACAGTATCCAAAGCTCATAATCTACCAATACATGTGATTCTCAATTTTACTTTCAGTTATTGGACAATGAAAAAATAATAAGTAGAAAGTTAGAGAAAAGATCAGTACACAGTGTTATCCAGAAAAACTGGATGCTAACAACATCAAAACTGTTCAAGTTCAGAATTTCAAAATAGGCTTTCTTAATGCATCTGTAGACAGCAGGCTATGAATCATCTCATTCAAGAACTCTTGGTAGAAGCAATCACATTCTCCATGCTTGTTAATCATTTGTTCTTTACTATTTACGGAACTATGCAATATATAAAATTCTGTAAAATTACTGAAAATAAATTTTACTGCATTTTTAATCAAAAACCCTACAGCTTTAACATTTGCCAAGTTTAGTTTTACCCTTTTCACTGAGTAGCTATAGAAAACTGATCAACAATCCATGTTTTGTTTGAGAAGTCAAACAAGACATCTGAGCCAAATGTTGTACTATTCTCTTATTCTCTCATTAAATTTATGCTTAAACCTTTCCATTTAAAGAAAGGGGTAATGCATTACCCCTTTCTTTAAAAGGAAAGGTATGAGCATAATGAAACATTATGAGTATTAATAAAACAATTTTATGTAGTGAATACAATGCTGGCCTAGAAACTAGAAGACTATGAATTCTAGACTTTGACCAGCTTCTCTCTTTCTCTCTCTCAGCCCAACCCATCTCACAGGGCTGTTGTGGGGGGAAAAAGGAGGAAGAAGGAGTATTAGATATGTTCGGCACCTTGGTTACTTATGAAGTAATAAAGGAGGAATAAAAATCAAATAAACAAACAAACAAACAAACACTTTGAGCTATCATTCCCTACTCTCTACCTTGCCTTCTTGTCTTTGTGGCAAGTTAAAACTACAATCTTCTGGGTTGCTTCAGTGTTAAGCCAGCAGAATGGAAGCAGGAGTCTGTCATGGGCAATTTCAAATAAATTGCAAAAGAAAGGCAAAGAAAATAAATGAAAAAGGGAGATACAGTTGGAATGATTACCAGTTATTAGGCTCCAGTAAATTTCAATTTAGGTATCTTATTATATATTTTAAATGCATCTATGTTCTTAAGACGTACCACATTATTCCAGTATCTCAAAAATTCAAGGGAGAAATTGGCTGGATTCACACATAAATACAAACTATAATACCGTTAGTTGTTTGGGGGTTAATGTATCAACTCCCATATTGTTCAACAAAACAAGATCACAGATCCACGATCAAAATTATGTGTAAATATATCCACAGTTCCAAACCAGAGATTACAATAGAATCAGAACTCCATAATTTAAAACTTAAACCATGGGTCAGGATTTTCAGTCTAAAAGGATAAAGATTTAGAGTTGCATATATAATTATCCTTAACACTCCCTTTTCTACAGAGCAGGAGCTTTTCAGATGTAAGGCAGTGGCTGTAACCACGATCACCCTTAGTGAAAACCCCAATGTAACAATGTTATCCACACTGATTTCGTATTCTGGTTTGCCGATCCTAAACTATGATTTCTCAATTTATATTTTATAGAAGTAATAGTTAAACTTCTTAGCATGATTTCAGATGTCTAAATTCACCTACTAAGTTAGATATGGCAAAGTAAAACCTACTTCACACACTCAAAAAATATTACTAAACATTTTATCTAATCTTTAGCTTAAAAAAAGCTCCATAGCTAAACTGAGAGATTAGATTGAATAAGACTTGTCTGTCTGTCTACAAGTACTTTCAAACAACAAAAAAAATCTAAGCATCTTAGGAAAGTAATGTACCATACATATAACATACATATATAATATCAACAACTGAAAATCAGCAGCCACCATCAATTATACTGTACCTACATATTCTAAGTACCTGTCACCTCAGCATCTCAATCCTCTCAACTAATCATCCAATTTCCACCAACATTTTATCAAGGATAAAGGATGTTGGAGGCAGCCGTACCACAGGAGGGGAGCACTGGCAAACCATACTCTCTTTCAAGATCCTTCTCATTATGCCTTATGGGGGATGAGAGCTCTACTGGCCCATCATCTTTGGTGGGCAGACTCTACATGCAGCAACAGATGTGCATAAACCTAGACAGCCAGCCATGTAGGACTAATTGGTACTAGCACCTGTAAACAAATAGACAGTCAATGCAGCTGCTATGACAATACTGGGATAACTGTTAGGCAGTTGCATTCTACAGGTTTTGAGGTATCCTCAAGATTAGTCTCATGTTTGGCATGTTACAGTGGTCCCTTTAGGATTTCCCAAAATGTGAAGTACACCTCCATTGTGGGAAGTACAGACAATCCTGGGCAGGTATGGAGAACCTTTCAGTTATACATTATTACCAGAAGTCACCTTCCACAAAATTTAATTGTACTGTTTACATTGTTTATTTATGTTCAGTTAGTGTTTGGGTTTTTAGGGGAGATGTGTACATTAAGATTATACTAAAGGGAGGTGTGATGGCAAAACATTTAGGAACCCTTGCTTTAGGAGGATGACAAGGGCACGAGTGACTATATCATACCTCTCTTCTAGGAACTGGAATTTTTACAATAGCCAAAGCTAGGCAAAAGTCTCTCCTGGCCACAGTGTTACTTTGGTCTTCAGCACGAGCTGTGAGTCCATAAGAATCTTCGACTACAGTAACCAGCTTCTTGGTAAGTACAACTCCTTCCAAAGTTATGGTGGAGAATCAATTTCTGCCTTGTTTGGGTTCATTTACAATTGGTCTGGGGTAGAAATGCACAACTGGGGATTATCTGCATAAACCCCTAACCATTGAATAACATATCCTAGTGGCCTTATGTAGGTGTCAAACAAACTTAAAAAGACTTCTATAAATATTTTTATTTCTGTTTCTATTTTTGCAACCTTGGCAACCTAGGAGAGCCAGTTTGGTTTAATGGTTAGGGGCAGGGGTAATCAACCTTGGCTCTTTTATGACTCGTGGACTTCAACTCCCAGAATTCCTGAGCCAGCTGGCTCCGGAATTCATGGAGTTGAAGTCCACGAGTCATAAAAGAGCCAAGGTTGACTACCCCTGGGTTAGGGCATGAGGCTAGAAACTGAGAGCCCGTGAGTTCTAAATCCCATTTTAGGCATGAAAGCCAATTGGGTGGCATTTCTCAGCTCAACCCACTCATAGGATTGTTGTGGGACAAATAAGAGGAGGAAGGAGTATTAAGTACGTTTGCTGCCTTGTGTTATTTATAAAATATAGGGTATAAATAACTAAAATAAACCTACCTACAGTGTTAAGATTAATAGTCCTCAAAATGTATATGGCTTTGCTATCTAAACTAAGATCTGTGCTCAATAGTACTTTCCATTTTCTTCTTCCTAATTATCTGTGGCTATATAGTTCAGAGATACTCTTCTCCTTTGTTTTTCTCCTACTGTCAGACTGTAACCAGCCAGATGAGTGAGTGGAAAGGCAGGAGCAACCCAATCTACCTTTTTTTATAAGTGGCTTAATTCCAGATTAAGATTGTCATTTTCAGCAAAGTGACAATGTGATTAACTGTCTAACATATACCAAATGACAATACTGATGTGTTTTTGATATTTTTTAAACTGTTTTTTTATATATTTGGCCTGCCCCAATCATGAATTACTCCTAATATTTGTCTGTTAATAAATAGTTTTTACACAGTTTTTATTCAAGATCTGTTTTTATTTTCTATTATTCTGCAATATTTTGTACTTTTAGTAAACTATACAAGGATTTTGCATGTGCATCTAAAAACAAAACAGAAATACTTTTAATTAATAAACAACTGTATGAATTTATGAATTACATAAAATAATATAAATACAAACAAATAAACTGATAGGCAAAATGATACCACAGTATCAACAGAATTTTATTGCCTTTTTGGTACCACCTGCTTCACTGCAGCACCTTCTTTTTTTCAAGTGTTTTAATAAAAACAAACTAAACAACATTCAAATATTATTAAAACTGACAGTTTCATTCAGGAACAGACAAAATAAATATTTCAGAGGGAAAATAATTATTAACAAGTGATCATTGAGAAGGTCAACTGGTTTCTTAAGGAGGCATTTATAGATGTATTGAGGCTCTCTGAAAATTTCTTTAATACTATAGATTATGGGCTCACACTATAGTAAATCAAGAAGCTTTTCCAGAAAATGGGAGTTGCCCTTGTGGAGAAATCAAATCACTGAATAAGAGCAGTTAGATTGCTCTATATTCAGACTGCCACACTTCAAAATTGTATACATTTTCCAGCTCTTTCTTTTCAAATCTTAGCTGTCAATTTAGAGCAGAGTTTCTGCACAAAAAGACTATTTTCTACTCTTCAATGTTTGATTGTTGTGAGTCTCCCCACCACCACATTCTATCTGCAAGCCTGTGCTTGTAAAAATCTATAATGCAGTGAGGGTTTTTTTTCCAAAATAAGGATATTTGAATTGTATTATACAAAGAAATATAAAAACTGGCAGATCTAAATTATATAAAAAGTTGGAAGGAGAATATAGTGTATAACTCAAAACTCATAAAAATACACAATGTTATCTTTAGTAAATCTCCCAATGTAGCATTGTAACAAAACAATAAAGGCTATCAATGATTACAAGCAGTAATAAAATTAACCAGTTCCAGAATTGGGAAACCTCTCAATATCAGTTTGCTGGAGTAAACAAAACTGCATTTATTTCTACCCATCTGTTTCTGGGTAGAAATAACAATAATAATAAAAAAATAATTTTAGATGCCCCCTGACTCCTAGCCACTTGGCGCAGTTTACAAATTGCTAAAAACATTTAAAAACAAGGAAAAATACCAACACAAAAGAAAACAAAGTAACAGAGATGGCACAGAAAACAAACCCAGATGGAAACAAGAAAAAAGAAAAGGGATGTCACACATCCTTGCCAATATCCTTGACTAAGAGCTACATCTTCTAGGCCCTTCGAAATATCAGTATGATGGGAGCCATTTGAACCTTTAAGGGAATTTATTCCTTAATAGAGAAATCTGATTTCCACTGTTCAAATTGAATGTCATTCTAATCTAGTAGGGTTTTTCTGAGTTATTTAAGTAGGATGAATCATTTAGTTCTGTTTCAAAAGTTTTTTTGTTCAACTTCACACATCTTAGGTCTGCTCTGAGGTTTTATGTCTTAAGATAGCCCTTTTTAAGCAGAATCTGTAACCCAGCAAATTTGTTTATTTCTCAAAAAGAAAGGTATATGTCTGCCTTGCTCTGTACATTATATTACTGTATTACATACTATATGCATTATTTTGGATCTGTAAGTCCTTGGAGAGCTTCTCTATGAATTTCACATTCTCCTCATTGTTAATACTGCCTATTTATTTGCTCTGTCCTCTAGTTCAGTCCTCCTCAACTCATGCCTTCTAGATATGTTCAATTTAAACTCCTACAGTGCTTAAGCAGTATAAATGAATTCTAGAGTATCTGATAAGCACGAAGTTGGAGTTGGCTGCTCTAGTTCCAATATACACCATTTCTCAGAAAAGAAAAAATAAGACATTCAAAGATAGTGTTCCTTTTCCTTGCATTTTGCTTGTAATAATCGCTTAGCTATTTAATAATAGGCAGGAAAATGGATAGCAATCAAGATAAGCAAAAGAGCAGTTTCAGAAAATCTGGGAATTAGTAATGGGCAAAGGAGACATGCCATGATGTTTCGGATGACAACTCAGTGTTCACCAACACCTGATAAGTATTCTCAAAAGCACGCTCTGTACTTGTACAATTTTCAGAGGTTGTGGAGGCCATGAGAGAATGTGATGTACTCTCATGCAGCCTCTGCAACAATTTGCCACAGCCGCAAACGAATCACCACAACCAACTGACCACAACCAACTCGCCAACTTGCAACTTGCCATGGCCAACTCACCATAGGACAGCGCGCTGCAGTACAAGAGTTACACTAATATCAAAGAAATAGTGGAATAGAATCATTAAAGAAATGATGCAAAAGGAGAGACAAAATGAAATGTGAATAAAAAATAATATTTTTTGTTTATTTTAAATAACTAAATTGAATTGTTAAATTGTCCCATGGCAAGTTGTCCCGTGGTGAGTTGGCCGTGGTGAATTGGCCCCGGCAAGTTGGTCATGGCGAGCTGGCCATGGCAAGCTGGCTGCAATGAGTTGGTTGCAATGCATTGTCCCATTGTGAGCCTCTGGACCCTCCAGAGGTAGCATGAGAACCATGCTCTTGCATGGTCTCTGGACCTTCTAAAAATCGTGCAAGAATGGGGAATGCTTTTGCATGGTTTTCAGAGGCTGCAGAGGCCACTGAACATTCTCCAAAGCCGCTTCAAGAATGCAGGCCTTGTATAGCCTCAGGTAGGCCACGGGCTTCTCAACAAAAAGAGAGCATTGCCTGAAGTAAAGCAGCATTCAGCAGATCCTGGGAAGTGCTGGGCCACTTTGGCAATCACCCCCTGGGGAATGATATGAGGTGGACTTGTTGAGTGGCAGTGGTGGTTGCCCAGGCCTCTACTTCGGTACTGCTACTGAAGCTACCAAGTGCCACTGTTCAGGATGTCCTAGATGTGGCAGTGAGGGGAGGGGAAGAAAGATAAAGAATTGTTTTCCTTTTGTTCAGAGTGGGGTGTGATACACCAGAAGAGTCAAGCTACATATTTTCTGCATTTTTGATACACTAAGCCCAAAAGTTTGCTATCAGTGTGCTACTATAGGGTTGGAGTGATATGAACAAAAGGCTGAAGGTCTCAAATCTCTCTTTGAAGTTTTTTGGGTTCACACACCCTAGCTTTGCTACTCCCTATCTTCTGGGGAGCACTTCAACTGGCTTTCTACTCCTTACCCCCGCTTATAAGAGAGAGAAGGTTTTTATCATCAATGCGGCTTTTCTGTCAAATGTAAAGGAAAAATAAACGTAAGAAACAAAGAAACAAACTCAATGATGTTTCTGCCTATCCCTATGCTGTTGACAAATGGAATCATCTCTTTCTTCCCCCCTTTCCCTTTGGGAGGCAGACCAATCTTACAAAAAGATAAATAAAATCAACCTTTGTTTAAAAAAAAAAGGAAAGAAGGAATGCAAAAATCCCTTTTTAACTTAGTCACATGTAAAACATCCAACAGTAAAGGAAATAAACTATACAAAGCTATTCAAATCACAGCTCACAATTTAAAAGAATCTTCCACAAAAAAATCCTATGGGTAGATCACAAAAAGATGCTGTTCTGTTTCTAATTTAAAGGCAATTTTGCTGCAAAGAGAGAACATTATTTGATTCTATTGTTTATCAGTATATTTAAAATATATGGAAGTTCTACTGTATAATAACAAATTTAGTTCATTTTACCCTGTATTTACATTTCATATTAAAATGTTAAAAAAGAAGTTCCAAGTTAAATAAAACACACAATTACAAAGCTTATACTGAGAAAATAAATACAGGGTCAAAGTATTAAGCTTTAGCAATATACAGTAAAATATACAGTAAAATATAGATTAAAAGTCTAACTTTTCTGTGTAGGCTTGTTTAACTTAGAGATAAACAGATTCCTGAACTCTCCTACTTATTTTCCTGGGCTTTATAAAGTTTCTAGTGGATTTAAACCTTTACTCAAGAGGCTGAGAAGAATGTTACTTCTCTTCTTTGACCAGCTCTGAAACTCAGTTGCT